ATATCGAGTTTATTACAAAAATCAATTAAATTCCATTGACTTAACTTATATGGAACAACTCAAATTGAATTTTGCTTATAATTTTTCAACTTGATTTCATTTTTTAATATGACTATGAAATAAATTGATTTCTATCATAGGATCAATCGAAGTCTTCAATTGAATATAATAAATCTCTACTGCTAAGTTAATACAATAGAATATATTTTAAAAAAAAAATCTAATTCTGATTTAATTTAATTTTTTACGCTCTATTTATATTCATTAAGAATTCTTATTTTACAAGTGTCTTCAAAAACTATCCAATATTGAACGTTGTTTATTTGATTAAATTGTACATGTATTGATGATAAACTAATGCATTCTCGGAGAAAAATACTGACAAGCGTAAATTCGTTGTCAATCGAATCTATCGGTTTTTTTTTTCTTCTTACTATATAACCATCAGACTATAGTCAACGATCGACTACAAGAATATTACTATAGCTGAAACAAAATAGAATAAACTAAACTCAATATCAATGAAAAGAAAATGATTAATATTCAATTGAATTATTATAAAATATCAAAATCCTGTCAATATCAGTTTTAATGATAAAGAAACAAACATTTCTCTTGAGAATAATTAAGTTCATTCCATTTTTTTTTTCTTTTTTCAAAAAGAACAAAAGAAAAAAAAACTCATATTGGTTCGTCATGAAGACTAATGTTTCATTCATCTTAGAATATTTGATGAGATTGTCAAAGACGAAAAAAACACATCTCTCTTTCCTGTATTAGAACAAGAACGGATGTTGATTGACGGCATATGTTTTTCTGCTCCTACAATGATTAACATCCTACTAAGGAAAAAAAAAAAACTCATTTTCTTCCATACAATTCATAAGCTTTTCTTTCTTGTCATTTACTCCAAAAAATGAATAGATGTCAGGCATTTTCTTTTCAATGTAAACGCATACCATTATTCTAGTACTAATTATTAGCTAAAAATAAAAAGAAAACATAACGAGAAAAAAAAAAAATTTATATTGCTTGTTTTTCTTTTTTGTAAATAAAACTTATTAATGAGATAATTCAATATAATTGTCTTTTGTTTTAAAATGACAAAAAAAGAAAGAAAGAAAGAAAAGAGAGAGAGAGAGAGAGAGAGAGAGAGAGAAAGAGAAAAAAAAGAATTCTATTCTACAGGTACACAAATCACTGTTCAATGTTTAATTTGGTATAAGAAAATATGTTGTCATACGACTTTTTCCTTTAACATCAATTTCTCCTCGTAAATCAAATTTATATTTGTCTTTTAAAGCTATTGGTACATGTTCTGGAACTTGAATACATCCTTTTTCACCAGTTGAATCCATTCTTGAAGCAACATTAACTGTATCACCCCAAATATCATAAAATAATTTTGTTGTACCAATAACACCAGCTGTAACTGGTCCAAAATTTAAACCCATTCGAAGTTCAAATGCAAAATTTAAAAGTGCTTCATTAAATCGATGCATTGTTGATTGAAATGCCAAAGCAAATTCAACAAGATCAATAACAGATTCTAAAATATACATTTAAATATCTTTCAGTGAAAAAAATTCTATATATTTTTTTTTTACGATATGGATTTTGATCATCTACATCTGTTTGTAAACCTGACGCAGCCATAAATGTTGCTCCGATTGTTTTTATTTTTTCAATTTTTGCAAATCTTGGCTCAAGAAATAATTCTTCAATATCTCCATAAAATTCATTTAAAATTCTTGCATAAAATTTTCCACCTTCATATTGTTCTTCATACATAACATGAAAATTGATTAATGATGCAAAAAGAACACCAACACATGGATGATTACGAGAATATGAACCACCACGAAGACGTAATGGTTCTATAACATGTTCCGGTAAAATATTTCTTAAAAGCCAATCAGCACGTTCCCGCTCTTTTTCTATTTCACTGCTTTGTTCGGAAGATTTATGAACAACATGATATTGAGAACGACGAGCTACTTCTACTTGACGACTTATACCATATAAAACTATCAATGCTATTAATATACAAACACTTATATCCATAACTGATGGTGCTAAAAGAGAAAGAAAATAAAAAATTTTATTGATTTTCTTTTTTTTATTATTCAATTTAACACAAACTTGTTATTCCTTTTTGAAGACAAATTAAAGGAAGATAAATTGAAATAGATAAAATCGCAATAAGAATTTTAATTAAATGAGATAAAGATGCACCTAAGATAAGATATGTTGAAATAAAAAGAATAAAAACTGGTTGAGTCATATTATAATAATTAGGATATTGAATTAAAATAATAATTAAAGGAGATAGAAGATAAAAAGCAGCTATAAAATGTCTTAAAATCCATACATCAAGAAAAGGTCGATGAAAACGAATTAAAATTAATGATAAAATTAATTTTATACCAATTATTATTCCCATAATTATTGATGTAGAACTTTTTTTTGGAAAATAAATATAAATAAATAAAAGTGATAATATTGATATAATAACTTCAACAATTAATAATTCATGTGGACCAACATGAGTAGAAAAAGCTTTTTCTAATCGATTATCTTTATATTTTAATGTTAATAAATTAAATGCCATAACTAATTCTTTTTCTTCATTTTCAATAATTTTTTCATTAAAATTTTCAACATTTTCATTATTTTCTAAACCTTCTGGAGTTTGTTCTTCACATATTGTTGCTCGACGAGCTTGTGTTACTTCTTCTAATAATGGACTTGTTACCGGCTTTAAAAAAATGTCAATTGATTTCTTTTTAATTAACAAAATTAACTTACTGCTGACTCAGCTTGATTTGGAATATCATTAGTTTCATTTAAAGGTACAGAAAGTGAAACTCCGGATGCAACGGCAACAGCTGCAGCAGTTGCTAATGTCATTGATGGTGGTTTTCGTGTTATTCGATGAGTTAAATGTCGTTTTCCAATAAAATATGTTTTAATTGAAACTAAATAAAATAAATTTTTTCTTTTTATAAAAAAAAAAAAACAAAAAACAAAAATAATCATTAAAAAGTAAAACAAAAAACCTTGACTTGGTAAAGTATATAGTGGACCTTCTTCAAATTTAAATTCATCTTTTTTAAGTAATGTATGAGTTGCTTCTGTTATATGAACAAAACCTAAATTAAAAAAAAAAATAAAAAATAAAAAGCAATAAAATGTATGAATTAATAAAACATTGTAGCCGAGCTAGCAACAAGCATATTCTACATTTATTTAGTATGGGGTTAAAAAACCTTTAAGAAAAAATAAATTAATTTAAGTAAAAACAAAAACAAAACAAAAAAGAAAAAGAAAGAAAGAAAGATTAAAATAAATAAAAAATAAAAAATAAAAAAAAAATCTGAATTATATTTCTTTACCTGGTTTTCCTGTTGATTCCATTTTATTTGCCAAAGTAACATCATTTGAAAAAATATCAAATTTAAATTTTCTTGTTCCAACAATTCCACAATTAACTGAACCTGAATGAACACCAACTCTCATATCAACTTGTTCATTATTATCTTCATCAAATTCTTCAATAGCATTAATCATTGCTAAACCCATTAAAACACAAGATTTTGCATGATCATCACGTGGTTCAGGACAACCACTAACACAATAATAACAATCACCTAATGTAGCAATTTTCTCACATGACATTTGAACACATAAATCATCAAATCGTCCATATAAATCTGATAATAATGAAACTAATTGTGATGCAGTTTTATTTGATGACATATGAGTAAAACCAACAATATCAGCAAATAATATCGAAACATTTTCCATTCTTTCAATATGTAATGGACGAAATGTTGTCATTTGTAAATCATCTTCACCTTTACAAGATAAATTTACATTTTGTACACGTTCACGAAATACATCAAAATCTTCCATTATTACTTTAGCATATTTATGTGGCATTAATGAATCAATCATTTTTGATATTAATGTGTGTTCAGTCAATAATGCACCACGAACATTTACATCTATTCACAATTTTTTAATATTATGCGATTTTTTTTTTTTTTTTTTTTTTTATAGAAATAAACTTACTTTTACATAATTGATTGAAAGCAGAACGTATTGTTATATCCAAAAGACGACTTAAATAAATGCCAATAATATTTGATATTAATAATAATAGTAAACACATTCTTGATTTTAATGTTAATGCAGCAATAAGTACCGTTATTACAATTGATATTAGAATTGATAAAAGTAAAGAAAAATTTGCTAATGTATATATTAGTATAATTAATATATATATATGACATTCTGATGGATATAAACAACTTAAAACAGCCAACGGGCAAAGACATATGAATGATATTATATTTGATAGGATTCGATTTTTTAAACGATTTATAATAATTAATGATAAAATATTAAAGAAAATACTTAACCCTAATAATATTAATTTGATTATATTCGATTTTTCTGATATTGATTTATATGAAAATATTTCAATTGAATTAATTAATGCATGACTGATCAATATAACAACAAGTAAACGATGACTTGATGGATAAATTTTTCTTAAATAATTTAAATTGTATTTTTTTTCTATTGTAGGCGAATCAAATTGTGAATGAAATAACGATTTTAAAGACCACTTTTCACGGGGAACAACATTTATCGACAAACGACGAGTTCCCATTGCACCAACCATTGACTAGAACGACAAACTCTATACCATCTATAATAAGTCATAAACACATATAACAGAACAGAAAAAAAACGCAAATGAATGGTATCTTTATAACAGAAAGGAAAGGAAAAAAAAGGAAGAAAGAAAGAGAGAGAGAGAGAGAGAGAAAGGAAAAAAAAAAGAAGCAATTTGGTTTTATAATAAGATTTGATGTCTATCTGTAAGTCACCTGCAGTCGGGTCGGACTCTCGTCTCATTTGAATTCTCATCAATGAAAATAGAAAATGAATGTCGTCATGGAAAACAAAAACAGGAATAATAATGATTTTCTTTATTTGAAATGAATCCTTTGAAGAGTATATAGATTGTCGAGTGTTTTTTTATTTGTTGTTGTTGTTGTTGCTGCTGATGTTTTTTTGATCGTATTGAGACCTTGAAGTAAATCAAATGTATTCAAACGATCTTGAACAAATTTTTCTATTAAAGGAATTTTATTCCATTTAGCAAGAACAAATGATGAAAAATGTGCATCAATTAATGCACAAAGCCAATCAATAATTGATGATATTGGTTGTTGAAAATGAATTAAATATGAAACAAGTTGTTCACCAAGTTCAACAGATTTTGATGAATTAAAATATAATTTCATAGAATTTGTTAATGACCAATAATCATATGGTTTTGTTAATATTAATAATAAATAATCAAATGTTAAATTTAATGATTGTATTAATTGTTTTTCACTAATATCATTAATATTTTTAAGATATTTTTCAATTAAATTAATTTGATTTTTTTTTATAATTAATTCAAAAAAATCATCTAAATTAATTCCACTTAAATATTTTCCACATTGATTAAGAATTTTTTCATGATCAATTGTTTCATTTGTATTTAATAAATATGTTAAACGACCAATAGAATTATTATCAGGACGATTTTCTATTAATAAACAAAGTTTTTCTATATCGGACATTTTCTTTTTTTTTCCTATTCAAAATAAGATTAACTGAATATTCATGATAGAATATTGAGTTCAGAAAAAATTAACCAATCATATTTATTTTATTAATGCATTAATGTGTTAGAAATATTTTTTTAGTCAATATACTATATACATATATTCTTTATTTTTTAAACATAGATATCATTTCATTCAGAAAACAATTAGATGGATATAAACGAACAAGGTAAATATATTTAAACAATGAACCGGATAAAAAAATCATCCGATTTTATGTGTTTTTTTAAATAGGTTTTCTTCTTCCTGCTCCATTACGAATATTTGATTGTTCGGCTAATGAAGTTATTTCATTTAAATTAAGTTAGTTTAGATAATTTTTTTTATTGTTGTTATTGTTTATATTTCATTAAATATATTTTGTTTTAGTTCAGTCGGAAAAAGATTTGAATAATGAAGAGAATGAATTTGCACCGGAATTTACGCATCAAATTTTTGGAGAAAAGTAATTTTTATTGTTTCATTATTAAAAGTCATTGAGTATTTTGTTTAATACATATTCAATTTGAATTTAATCAGTTTATATATATATATCTTCATTAGAATCTAAAAGTAGATATGTTAAAATTAAGTCTAAAAAAAAAATTATTTTAAAATGAAACTTTGAGATTGAATGAAAAATTGATGATAAATAAAATATTTGAAATTCATCAAAAACAAAGTTCTAGTCTAGATTATAGGATTAAGTTCAATTTAATTATGTATATTAACTAAAGAATATTTTTCTTTTTAGCGAAAGAATATTTGGATATAAAAATTTAAACATTGATATTTATTGTTTATCATCATCATTGAATTTTTATTTAAATATTGATTATGATGAAAAAATAAATCCAAAAAAATATCAACAATTTAAGGTAATGAAGATACAAAAAAAAGAAACTTTATAGTTTAAAAAAGAAATTAATTTTCTATTAAGGCTGATGATTTAGTTGAATCATTAAATCAATGGATACCATTAACAACAACAACAAATTTAGATTTATTTTTATCTAAATTAAAAAATGAACATGAATATATACCATTCGGTGAACAAATATTAACATATCAATTAAAAGAAGAAAAATCTTTCTCATATTTAATAAATCGTGTTAATCAAAATTTTTGTGATGATAAAAAATTTCTTGAATGGTATTCACGTCTTGAAACATTTCTTGTTTTTTTTATTGATGCTGCATCAAAAATTGATAAAGATGATTCGAATTGGATTATTTATCTTCTTTATCAACAATATCAAAATGATAATGGTCAAATATGTTATGCACCTATTGGATTTATTACTGTTTATCTTTATTATTCTTATCCAGATAAAAAAAGACCAAGAATTAGGTAAAGAAAGTTTTTTAAAGATTTTTAAAAAAATTTTTTTTTTTTTAGTCAAGTATTAATTCTACCACCATATCAACGAAAAGGTCATGGACGACGTCTTTTAACAACAATTTATAATGATTTACGAAAAGATTCTCGTGTTCAAGATATAACAGGTATTACAAATTATCTCAAAATCATATTAACAATATATCAGAATTTATATCTTCATAATCGAAAATCGTTATAAAAATTCAGGATGCATTCCTTTCTTTTTGACACTCTGCACTTCTCGAAGACGATGCAACAAAAATAAGGAGACTAGTATAGAGAACTGCAAAGTGATCTCTATATATTCTGCAGATCCTAGATTTTGATATTATCAGAGTCATTCTTGAGAAAACACCGATTGAAGATTACTCATTATCTATGCGAGAATTGTGAGCTGTGAGAAAGTCTTCTAAGTCACACAACTAGAATCAAGAACAAAAAAAAAATCGTGTTTGTTCTAGAAAGGAAATCAGAACCAGAAGCAATAAAAAATTTTAATCAGGACTGGAATTGGAATAAGGAAAAAAAAAAGGTGATCTCGCAGTTTCCTAGAGTAGTTTTCGAGGAAAAAATTTTGTAATTTCTTTCTGTGAAATTCTGCTACATTACGATACCTATCATACTTTATCCGATTGAACTGAACTTAAGACTAAATTTCAGAGATAATTTGCGATTTTTTCCAAAAATCTCACTTTTTATAAAAGAAATACGGAAATGTTCGGTTATAAAAACCGATGTCTTGGCTTCTAGGATTCTGTAGATTCGAGTAGGAATGTTAAGAATGAAAACTCTGAAGAATATTTCTAAGTATTAGTGGTCAAAATTTTAATCCGATTGAAGAAAGTTAAATGAGAATTATATACAACCCTAAGGAAAACTAGTGTTTCCCAGAAAAACTCCTCAAATATGTGTCTCTTTATTTTTGATAAAAATATCAGCTTGTATCGTCTTCGAGAACTAGACCTAGACAAAACAGCGAATGAGATATTCTTAAGTTTTTCGATACGAAAGATGAAATTCGATTACTTCGAAATAATCTCATTTCAAAAACTCATATTAAATTGCTTTTGTATATATATATATATATCTACAAATTCAATCACTTATTATCTCTTTTTTTATTATAATCAAGTTAATTTGGTAACATGTCCATTTTGAATACTATTATCAGCGAAGAACGTACTTGCTTTTTAGCTTCAAATAGTTATTGAGCTTTTAGAAATTTTTTTCTGGTTTCATTACTAATTCTTAGTTGCTTCTTTTTAAGATTTGATCTTTATTTGTTTTTTTTTTACCTCTATTTAGCTGAAGATCCATCGGATGAATTCATTGCATTACGTGATCTTGTTTCATTTGAATTATGTCATAAATATTTACCTGATGTATTTTCAAAAGAATCAATTCTTAAAACAAATCGATTAACAAAAGAAATGATTTATAAAGCAAGAGATATTTGTAAATTAACTAAAGTAATTTTTTGTTTTCTATTTATTTCAGTTGTTTTTTTGTTAATTTAATTAAATTTATTTTAGCAAGAAACACGACGTGTTTTTGAAATATGTTTTCTTCAATCTATTAATAAAAATGATGAAGAACAAATGAAACGTTTTCGTTTAATTGTTAAACGACGTCTTTTTGAACCATTACAAGTAAAATTTGTTATTTTTTTTGTTTAAAAAAAAATAACTCTTTTTGTTTTTTTTTGAATAGTTTGATAAACGTCGTCGTCTTCAATTATCGGATCCAGCACTTGAAGCATTGGCAACAGATCCAGAAAAACGAAAAAAATATTTGTCTACTCAATATGAATATGTTCTTGAACATTATGAAAATATTCTTCGAGCATTTAACAAATATCAAGATAAATTATATAAATAAATTCGATATATAATGTAGAACATTGTGGAAATACATTTATTTTTCTCTCTCTCACTTTATTATGTAATCAATAATAAAAATTAAATAAACAGATTTGACAAAATGTCAATCTCTAAACAATTAATGATCTCATAATAAAATTAGAATTCTTTTATTCTAATGAAATATTCTTAATAAATTAAAGATAGTTTATATCAAATGACTAAAAATATTGTTTACAATCTTCTTATTTGTAATCAAAATAATTCCATTTTTTGTCTTTAATACCAGAGAGATTTCACTAGCAGATTTTCAAAACTGTTTGTTATTTTTATTCAATGATTAAGTAAAATTTTCTTTTTATTTATTACATTTTATGAATGATCTTTCTCTTTAAGTTATGTAGTATTCGCTTTCTCTATTAATTGTTACAATATCAATTTAAAATTACTCACACCATAATCTGAAATTATATATAGAAAGAATTCGTTTATAAGGCTGTCATATAAACTTTTTTTGCGAACATTGGTTTTGCTATTGATATAACAAAATTATCTTAAACTTATTTAACATTTTAAGATTTCATTCTACCAAGTTATTAAAATCAAACGAAACGAAATAAGCAAAATTAACAACTTAGTACAACACTAAAGATGAACATACATCTGTCCTAGATTCGATCAATATATTATTGGATAGATTGTAGTTGCAATTAAACTTTGAAAGTAAATTTTTTACATAGAATCAAATATTTATTCTATCAATTGTGTTTATATTAGACATCGAAAAACAAAAGTAGAACCATAATTAAATGAGAAAATTAAATTCAAACAAAATTTACATATGATTTATTCTGTATTGAAGAAAATAAGTAAAAATTTTCTGATAAATATGATTGTATATTATAATATATAACTAATAAAAAAGAAAAAGAAATTCTTTCAATGCTTTTACTAATTGATAAGGCTTGTTAGCGCAGCGCCTGTGGAGCTGAAATGTGGAACTCATATATATCCTTAAACCTTAATATTCTAATACATCATATGTAAACTGAAAAATTTTGTGTACACTGTACGGTCGTATCTGGTCGTCGTAATGCTCGACCTGGGACACTATCTTAAATACTTTTTTATTTTTTGATATCTAGCATGAAAATAACCAATTACTTCCACTAGTATCATTAAATGATCATACCTATATATATATATAAAGAAGAATGTTTGTCTGTTTGTTCTTCATACATTTGGACACGGTACGAGCAAATCCAACCAAACTTTTCAGGGACCATCCTCTCATCCAGGAGGTGATCAACGACTACTTTTTGTCGAAAAAACATCGGCTCTCCGCCTGCAACAGGTCCGCCTATGTATCTGATCAATGAGATTGCAGCATTCGGTAGTATTGGAGAAATACTGAGCAGCACGTTATGAGCAAGTGCAAGATATTTGTCTAGGGGTTTTCGAGGGTGTTGAGCTCGAATCTGCGGTCCATTTACTTCGAAATCTGATTGGTTTTCCGATTACTAATTGGAATCCAGCTGCAAAGAAAACAGACAAAAACATCGACACTTTCGAGAAAACGATGAGATAGGGGTTTCTAGAGGCAGTGAGTGCGAATTAGGGGGTCCAATCACCTCAAGATCTTATTGGTTAGCTCGAAACCAATAGGAATCGAGTTTTTGGGAAAAATGAATATCACTGGATGATCGGAGGAAGGACGTTAGGAATCGGAAGTCCATTGAACTCGATATCCTACTGGAACACCCGTGGTTCTAATGGCTGATCCATGTCATATACAAATCGACTTTTGAGGAAACTGATTTCCTGGGGTCATATGAGGCAGGGATTTCGAATAAATGGTCTATGAGACGCAAAATTTATTCATCATAGATATTGACTTCTAAAGGTTGCTAAAGGGTCTGTCCCACAAAAAATCTTTCTGTCTGTCTTTCTTTGAAACCAATCGAAATTCAATGTGATTCTAGTGGTACAAAGTACAATATATCGTTGTAATTCTCCCAAACAATGGGCATTGTGAACGCGACATTCTAGATCAATTCGATGTATCGTTGTGTTTAGTTTTGATCAAAGCGGAGTTTTCTTGCAATGCTATCGAAGAATCGATTGTCCATTAAGCTTCCCACTAGAAACATAACTAAACAACTCCAGAACCGGGAGCGTTACCAAGCGCGACCGGGATCAGTTGAGATTGGGGATGATCGAGACAAGTATGTACTCTTATAAATGCTTGACTAACATAAAAATTCGATAGAACTCATAAGTTTCATCAAGCTCTTCTGGATCTAGACGTGTACGGACCAGGAATCCTTCACTTCTGATCAATTCTTCAATGTCACTATTTTGTATCCGCCAAGAGCGAGAGCAGCTAGGTCCAGGACTTAAAATAAGTCCAACACTCAGAACCAAGACCGGGACAAAAAAAATAGAATTTTATGTGTGCCTACTCTCCACTGATTAGGTTTTCTTACATGTTCTCGAGTGCAATAGAAGTTTTGCTTGCATATATTAAGACTGAACTTTCCCGGGCAACGCCGGGTACTTCCGCTGGTTAATAATAATGATGGGTCAGTTTAATGAATCTCTTTCTTTTTTTTTGTTTTGTTAGATCTTATCTTCTTATGGATAATTTATTGTAAGAAAAAAAATCTTCTCTTTTTGTGTAGATCTTTAAAAGATATTGATGAATTCATAAAAAAAAAAAATAAAAAACAAAACTCATGTATTTTTACAACAAACAAAAAAAAACAGATCGATAAAAATAAAGAAAAAAGAATTGCTACAACAGCATAACCAATATTAATCAATCAACAGAAGTAAAAATAATGAATATTAGTATTTAAGTGTTGTTGTTTTGTCTTGTTTTAGAAATGATAGTCAACTATAAATTTCATCATCATCATTTAGATATAGATAAATAAATATTAATAAAACAATTAATTAAACGTTATTATTAGTTAGGATGTGGGTATGAGTATTATGTGAAATACTATCTAAATGCTTGCACCCACACCCCTGGATAAAAATAAGAAACAAAACATGAGATTGATTCTATTACACTTTTATGTTTCTTTTTTAGTCATGAAATCTATTTGATTAAATTATTTAATGCGAAGTCAGAATGATGAAAATGATGATTGAAATAATATAATTTCGTTGATGATTATTCAAGAAAAAAATAATTACCAGCTGCTTTTTGTTCCATATCCTAATTCATACAAAGATACAAATTAATTGTAAAAAAAAGATTTTCTCTTTAAAATTAAATTTACTTTAAAAGATCCCTTTTTATTAATACGTGGTCGAGCATTTCTTGAGTCTCGTCGAAATGTTATTTCGAGTTGTTTTAAAAATGAATTCATACCAGGTAGAAGTGATTGTGGTCTATATAATGATAATAATCATTTTTTTTTCTTTTCAAATAAAATTTCAACTAGTTATTCATACTCAGATGCATGAGTTTGAACAGATGGTGTTCCATCGAAGACAATAACACGATCAGCCAAATATGTTGCCATGAGAAAGTCATGTTCAACAACAAAACCTACTTTCTTAGAATGAAGAAGAAATCTAAAAGAAAAATATTTTATTGGATTTGAATTTTTGTTTTCTTGACTATAATTTTCTTTACCGTTTAATAACACGTGCAGCATGTAAACGTTGTTCGGAATCAAGAAAAGCTGATGGTTCATCAATTAAATAAACATCAGCTGGCTTTCCTAAACATAGACATAATGCAACACGTTGTAATTCACCACCAGATAAATCTTGAATCTGAAAAAGAAATATTTTACATAACGAACAAAAAACAAAAATACAATATCAAGATTACTTCATTATCAATAATTTTATCGATTCGAAGTGGCCGTGAAACATCGCTTTGAAATTGTGGATGAAATATTGCTTCACGAATTTTCGAATGAAGTAAATCACGAACTGTACCAGTAACTTTCGGACTAATCTTTTGTGGTTTATAAGAAATATTCAATTGAGGTATTTTGACTAAATATTTAAAAGAAATATGATGAAGTATTAATATGAAAATTTAGAAATTAATTAAAAATTCAGAAAACTGCAAAATGCCATTTATGAAAGATCAAGATTTTATTTATCGACTACTTTTGTCTAACGATCAGGAAATAATGTTTGAAAATACACATATGTCCTCATTAAGGTGCGTGTCTTTGAAAACAAAAGGCTCATCGTAGGAGAGCAGAGCAATCGAATATAAGTGAACATTGCATTTCATGAAGACACATGTTAATCTTCGTTGAAAATTTCATGATTATCTAATGAATACTAACATTTTGGTGTCTTCATCTTTATAACTTTTTGTTCTAACTCGCGCGTATATTCTAATTCTGATTAAACATGATGAAATAAACGAAAATTTAATAATTATTAATTAGCTAACCTCCATTATCGGGTTCTAAATTACCAGCTAACATTCGAATTAAAGTTGTTTTACCTAGAAATAGAAAAATATTAAAATTCTAAATCTAATATCTTTATATAAATATTTTTCTTGAAATTTCTTTACCAGTTCCATTTTCTCCAAGTAAAACAATAATTTCCGATTCTGTAAATGAACCAGCATCAACAGATAAATCAAAAGAACCAAAATTTTTTTTCATAGCAGGATAATGATATGTTGATAAACGTCTAACTTCTTCTTTAGATACTCTTTCAACAACTTTAAATGTTAATCCAACATCACGAAAACGTAAATTTTCTGTTCGAATAAAACCTTCCAAAAATATATTAATACCTACAAACAAAACAAAAAAAAACAGTAACAAAAATAAATAAATAGAATATTTTCATGTTTCTTCAACCTTCACGAACAGAAAAAGGCATTGTTACAACACCATAATGTCCAGGTGAACCATATAAAACACAAATAAAATCCGATAAATAATCAAGTACCGAAAGATCATGTTCAACAGCAATAATGTATCTGTATGAAAAAAGAAAAAGTACGATTAAAAAATTTAGAATTAAATG